AAGGAATTTTCCTCCAGGGTAGATTGGCAGAGGCCCTGGAGGTTTTTCGCCTTCCTCTGTAGCATTGGGCACAGATCACAGCTAGAGGATTCTCTGCATCTTGGGGTCTTCAAAGTATTTGAAGGCTTCAATATCTGAGATATAGGTGAGAGGATTATTCTGGGAGGGGTGGGTGAGATTCTGTGGCCTGCACTGTGCAGGGGGTCAGACTAGATGATCATAATGGTCCCTTCTGACCTTAAAGTCTATGAGATTGGCCTTCTTGGCATCCCTGCTCTTGGGGGTTGCGCCTGGTTCTCTCTCTTGTTGGTTAGCTGCCTGAACCACTAGGGATCCTAGAGGGGAATGAGAGAAGAGATGCTCAATCCCTTCTTGTGGGACAAAATAACAGCACTCAGCCATCTCATTGGTAGGCGGAATGGAGGTGGAATGGAGGCCAGAGCCTGCCAGTGTCTTTGTGATCTTTGTCATGGTTTTGTTCACTGGTAGAGCCACCCTGGTGGGCATATCAGCATGCAGGATGTCGACAGTCAGGTCCTAGTCATCTGACACCTCTTCAGTCTCTACCCCTAGACTCTGTGCCAGGCGATGGATAAGGTCCTGGTGAGACCTTGAGTCCACGGAGGGCAGCGCCCTTCCAAAAGCCTCATCGGAGGATGAAGACGACAACCCCTTCAGGCATGCCGCCTTTGCATCCTGGGCTTGCGAGAGGGACTAGGAGGCCGCTGAGGATGCAAGCATGTGGGGATGAGACAAGGATGGCCCCCTTTTGACCGAAGGTCTGGGCGAAAGCTCCCCCAGGGTACAGGGACTGGGGCCAAAGTAGGGGAGCGGGTCAGTGGGGTTGCTGATAGAAGGGCCCCGGGCCCAGAGACGACCAACTCTGCTCTAGAGGGGCCCACACCCTGGCTCTGGTGATATGCCCAGGGGATCCAAAAGGAGCCTGCCACTGGGGTGGCCAGGATTGCTGCGCCAACTGTCTTGGGGTTGGTTGTGTGGCCTAGACCGCACTGATGTGCTACAGTGCTTGGCGTGGTGCCGGGAGTATTGTTGGAGTGAGAGTGTTATATCTTTTTATATTTGCATTTTAGGTTTAATAATGTAGTAATGTAAGGTAATATATTTAACATTTTATTAATCAAGCCTTTTAGTTAAATATACATTTCTTTGTTTTAAAGTTTAGTGAGTTTGGTAAGTAAATTGAGTTTTTTGGTATTGTGCCTATGCTAATGAGATTAGAGGAATGCTGAAGGCTGGAGTTTTAATTGTTTGATTTACAATGACTTTTGCTTTGCCCAATAGGAGATGCTTTTTTTTTTTTTTTTTAAGGTCTTTGTAGAGATTGTTCATGTGTGAGAGTGGTATGTATGTGTCGAGATAAAGGTGTGAAGGTTATCTTCAGAGCCAGATGGCCAAGAAAGGAGGGGCGAAGAGTGGGAGAAGACAGACTTATCAGCATCAGAGGGACCATCAGTGCGTACCCACGGTCAGGAATTGATCAGATTGGCAGATTGACAACTCTACAGTCGAGCGAGCACCCCCAAAAGACGATTGATTACAGGATGAGTTTTTTGTAAATGTTTTGGGAATGATTAACATAAAAAAGATAACCCCAGACACAGACTGACACAGCAAAATCCATAGACTTCATCAGAGAAAAGGATTATAAAAGCAGAGTGCCTTGCTATTGGACTTTGGGTTCATCTTGCCACCAACTCCAGGAGAGCATCGGATCGTGACCGACAAAGGCCCTGCTCCCCCTCTGTGATCAATCTAGCTGGCCACTAGATTGATACAGACTCTGGACTGGTAACTATAACATCATCTGGCTGGACTGTGTGTGTATGGTGCGTGTTTTTGTAAGTGACTGAAAAGCATATGCTACTGTTGTATTCTCAATAAACGCGGCGTACTGCCTTTTCCCCTATAAAAGTTCTCGTGTGCTTTGTTTAAGCATAACAGTAGCACCTGTGCCTTGACCTCGATCTGGAGCCCTGTGACGATGCGGCTGACTCCGCCTCCAAATAGGTTGAGTATTCAGAGGTCAAACAGTGTTGTGCCATAGTTGTTGCAGTTGGCAATCTGCGTATCAAGCCACAGATTATGGCTTTCCATGGTGCTGAGGAGGAGGTGGCGGCATAAAAGGCAACGGTGCTTGCCTGCTGGCTGCCAAGGATGGGAGTGTGGATACCATCGGTGCACTAGCCAGTGCTGTACAGGTGTCCTGGCTCAGTGCATGGGTCGGTGCTGGTGAGACTACTGTGGCAGGTGCCGGTGTCAGGGGCTGGTGACAGTGTCTAGGTCAACAGCACCAGGGTAGTGCAGTGGTGAACCCTCATGCCCTGTGCCAGAGCTGGCAGTGCCATGGATGTGGCTCGGTGCCCCCAAGCATGACGCTCCTTAGGCGGGCCCAGTGAAATCAGGGATGAGGCAAGCTAGATGAGATCTCTTGCAGCCTCAAAAGCATCCGGTGTTGAGGACTCTGGGAGATCCTCCACCGGGCTCCAGTCCCAGTGCAGGATGGAATGGTGCCGACCTGACCTCAATGGTCCGGGTGCTGATACTGCTGGTGTCACGTGCCCCACCTGATGGTGCACTGATGGCATGTGCCTAGATGGAGACCTGCCCCGGCTAGGTCTCCATTTTGTCTGTGGCCCTGGAGAGTGGTGCTGAGGCCTGGTGCCGAGGCCTACAGCCAGAGAGGAGGGCAAGCAGCTTAGTGCTTTCCGCACAGAAGCTGGTGCACAGCAGGCTGTCGGTGCTGGTGTCGGGCGGAGAGCCGCATCATGAGTATGATCTTTGGCTTGAAAGCCTTACAGATCATGCAGGTCTCCAACAGATAAGTTTCCCTGAGGCACTTAAGGCAGGCTTCCTGGGGGTCTCTGCAGGGCATAGGCTTCTGGCACTTAATGCAGGGCTTGAAGCCTTGAGGCACAGGCACGCCCTGCAGCAAGCTGGAGATGTGAAGCAAGTTATGCATGTAAGTAAACTACTAACACTTAACAGCTACTTAAACTATTTACAACTGAGATAAGAACGAACACTAACAAACAACAGAACTACAAAAGGGTGAGAACTGCTGAGAGTGCTTGCTAAGCAAGAGCAGAGCAGGCTACAATGACCATCAGAAGCAGAAAGAAGGAACTGAGGGGGTGGACGGCCAGCAGGAGTACATATTAGCGGATATAGCGGTGCCATTCCAAGGGACTCCTCTGCTGGCCCAATGGGTGCTGTTAAGGGAAAAAACATGCATCAACACGTGCACATAGCACGTGCATTGCACATACTTAATTTTACACTTTACATGCATTGTATATGCAAACATCATGGATGCAATTACTCCAACTGCATCCATCATTTTGGTAAGTATATATGAAATTGTGTGTGTATCCAATTTTGAAGATTTGGGCCATAAATTAGTATTACACTATTGGGCAAGAAGACAAAGTCATCCCGGCTGCAACAATTTATAATAAGTAACCTTGTTCTTAATCAAAGCCTTGACAAAGTCTAGATTAAAGAGCACGCATCTGGACCTGCACAAGGGTTTAATATGAATGACAGAAGATCTAGGTCATCTTTTCAGCATATTGTTTCTAAATGGGAGCAAGAACTCTGAGGGAAGCACATTTAGCTACTCTCGGAAGGGATTCCTACACATCATTCTGGTTCTTTCAAAAACATCTGTCTTATCCTGTTGTCTATGACCAAAAATATGTCAATTAGTGCCAATTTAGGTTGCATACACATTTGTCTATGGATATGTACACAGAAACCACTAAATCAGATGGTAGCATGAGAAGGTAGCAGCTTTTAGGTCATTATTAACGTGAGCTGGATTCACAGATATGATCTATTTGTCAAAATATACTATATTATTACTGATCTCCCACCAAGACCACTATGTTTTAATAAATGCATGCAATGACTTTTACCTGCGTGTGTTACTTTCAGAATGAGCCACTTCAGCTTGAGACTTCACTCGTTGCTGGCTCATTTCTAGAGACAGTCTTTCTAGCTCATCTTTTAACTTGGCATTTTCTTGTAGAACTTCTGAAATATGAGAATCAGCAAAATTATGTGGCTGGTATATTTTATCATCAAGAGTGTCTGGGAAGGGATTGTTGGTGCTGGCGTTCCTTTTACGTGTTGCTAAAATATCCATTTTCAAAATTTCAGTAGACTTTTCCTTATCGTCCGTTCTCTCACTTGAATTCTGATTTGATAACATCGTAGTCCTCTCTTTTTGAAGTCTCTCTACCGTTTTTGTTAGGTCCTGTATCTCTCTACTTTTGGAGATCAATTCTTGATTTAGTCTTACCAACCTAGCTTTCGCATGAGCTTGTTCAACTTGGTACTCTATTGTTTGTAAGTCTTCATCGTCTTTTTCACAGTTTTTGAATTCTATCTGGGAATTCTGATTTTTAAGATTTTCAATTTCTGTTTGAAGAGTTTTTACTACGATCTGGTGGTTTTCCTTTACATTATGAAGTTCTTGCTCAGTTGCTGTGAAACTGGCTTTGTTGTCATGAAGTTTTTGAGGTTCATTCATCAATTTATAGGCAAGGAGTTCTTCAAGCTCTATAAGTCTTTGCTCATACTGAAGCTGGAAAAGAGCAATTTACAAAGTTGCACATCAATTACTCCCTCTTTTTTGTATAAATTTTGTAATAAACTGCCTCAAGTAAATGTTTAATACATCACACATAACAAAGCCAGTAGTATTTAGAACACTAATTTAGATAATTCAGTAAGCAGCCTCAGGGATGTAATAACTCATTAAGACTGCCTGCAACAAAAAAGCACAGTATATCAGCAAACTAAGGAACTATTCTTAGTAAGGACAGATGGGCACCTTATAACAATTATAAAGAGAATAAATAATAACTAAAGTCAATTATTAGGAAAATGATTGTTTCTCATTCTATTATTGCACTGGATTGTTCAACTCAGCTATCAGTCTGAACAAATTAACATTCCATTCTTAGATTAACATTAAGAGTATGTTGGCTCACTAAGAAATTCAGAGCATTTCACAGTTTTGTTAAACACAGCATTTCAACTGTTGCTAATTTCCACTTTGCAAATATTAATGGTTTGTGATAGGACTGCTCACTTCCATATCCTTTGAAGTTCAACATTTTATTATGATTATTAATTATTTGCAATGTCATAGTGCTTAGGAAACCACACTGTAGACCACAATGTACAAACACAACAAAAAGATGTTCTCTCCATCTGGGTCTATATAGCATAATCAGGTTCATTAAACCCTGGTCTCTCTTGTGTTCTGTCAGTACATTCTTTTCCAGAGGTACTATTAGACAGAAACACAAGGAAATAAAATTGGATAGAGAAGACAAATGTTAGCAATGTATTTTCTTCTCCCAGTATCATGAGCAGAAAACTGGTAATTTCTCATTCAGGTAAATGCCAGGATTTACTCAAAAGGAGTCTCTCAACCAGTAGAATCAGTCTTTCCAAGATCATGTTCTCCTTCCCTACTAGGTAAGCAGCAACCAAACTGGTCTTGTGGAATAAAGCCTATTGCCATTCCTGCAGGACTTTCCAATGCAGGATTTCAGATCTGGTGCCAAGACCTTGGCAGAAGTATAAATATTCCCAGGCAATGGCAACTTAGCACTTAATTGTCACGCTACAGACCAGGGCCCAGGTCAGTTTCTATAGGAATCCTCAGTCTGCAAACTCCCCACATAACAATTCTGTGTTCTGGACATCCATGAAGAAAAAGGTGGAGACATTGACTCTGACTTATAAATTGCAGTCTTTTCTGCATGTTAAGTTGACTGACATTGCAGCCTGCACATGTATTTAGCTTGTGTGTGCAGCTCAGTGCACCTCCTCTTCATATCCTGTAGGATCATGTCTCCTTCTCTATTTATGAAAAGATTATAAAGACCAAAGCAATGCATCCTGCAAATTTAATTCCTCCTCTATCAGTTTCAAAATATGTTTACATGTCTATATTTTAAATGTACAAAGATTTAACATTTCTGGTCCCAGAACCTTTGGCAATATTCTTCTCCCCAAATTTTATCTTTCCCCTCAATTTACAATGTTACTGCTTTAGAAACAGATATCCTTACATTCAATAGAAACTTTCTTCACTATATGTGGAATGGGTTACTACTCAACAGATACTCATAGCCTTAAGTTAGTTACCTTTATTTTTTGAAACTGCTGTTCCATAGCACGTAGACTTTTTTTAGCTTCATCATCTTTACCCTCAAGTTCTGTTTCTAACTTTTTTATTCTTTTTTCCAGGAAATCAACTGTATTGGATTTAGCCGAAATGTCACCACCTCCTTCAGATGCCGCTGCTGCAGCATATATCAAAGCAGGTAAAGAATTTGGATGCCTTCTTCTTATAATAGTTTCCATTTCTTTAATCTATCAAAGAAATCACCAACAACTTGTTCAATAGCAATTTGATAAAAGATATGGTGTTCACTGACACTAAGAATGGCTGTAGTAGAACAGAGCCATGGTCCATCTTGCTCAAGTATCCTGTCTTCTGACAATGACCAGTGACAGTTGCTTCACAGGGAACGAACAGAAAAGTACATTTTTAAGTGAATTATCCCATGTCATCTAGTTTCTTGCAGACAGAAATTTAGGGGAATTCTAAGCATGGGTTTGCATCCCTGACCATCTTGGCAAATAGCTATTATAGCCATATCATCTATGAACTTAACCAATTCTTTTTGAAACCCACAAGAAGGTACAAAGAACCATGAACAGATCAATAGACACTACTTCTTTCAAAATATCTATATCCAGACACATGGTGCATGTGTATAACCAACAATGGATTACACTATGGACCATTAATTGAAGAACATGATTGTTAGCTTTTTAGACTGCCACTGCAAATTGAACAGATGTTTTCAGAGAATGATCCAGAATGATTCAGAGATCTTTCTTGAGTGGTAACAACTAATTTAGACCCCATCATTTTATAGATATAGCTGGCGTTATGTTTTCCAATGTGCACCACTTTCCATTTATCAGCACAGAATTTCATCTATCATTTTGTTGCCCATTTACAGAATTTAGTGAGATCCCTTTGTAAGCTTTGGATTTAACTATTAACCTTTAAACAAAGGCACCAGTAGTTACTGAACCCCAGGGTCTCCGACTGACTTTATCAACACTAAGGATGTTAACGTATAACTGGTTAACTGGTAAGCATCACCCTTAATCTCAACGAAAACCTCAAGCATCATCCTCAATCTTATTGGTTGATGCTTACCAGGTAACACTTAAATGGTACCTGAGGAGGAGGCGGCCCCCACCTGCAGCCTGCCATGGGTGGAGGACTGTTTGAGCCCCATTAGTTCCCAGCCCACACAGGCTGAGCGCCGGGCAGCCCTGCGTGGACTGGGGGCCAGAAGCAGCAGCCCTGCATGGGGTTGGAAGCAGCTGGGCTGGAGCAGCCCCAGCCTGTGGCAGAGGGGAGAAGATGATTCAAGCCCACCCACTCCAGTTTAATCAATTAGCTGGTTAAACTTGATATTTAACTGGTTAACTAATTCAGAAAGATTTTACATCCCTAATTGACACAGCAGAGACAGAACTCAAGAGGGCCCTGCAGCATCCTGCTACAGGAACAGTAGTCTGGAAAGCTTGAGAGCCACTTCTAGCCTATTCCCCAGACAGATCAGGTTTAAAGCAATACCAAATGCAGGTAAATGTATTTTGTGTGTGGATAGGAAAGGTTAAAATTGAAGTAGGAACTTAAAGGCACATCTACGTTAGAGAGCATACTGTGGCGCAGCTGTGCCAAGGAGCTACGTCACTGTAAGACTGTATGTGTCACTGCTCTCTGCTGGCACAAGAGAACCCTTGTGTTGACATAAGAAAACCACCTCCACAAGCAGAGGTTGCTATGTTGAGGAAAGAGCTTATCCCACTAAAATAATGCTATCTACACCAGCACTTCTGACAGTGTAACTTATGTCACAAGTTTTACCAACAAAAGCAGTAGGGCAGACATGGCTTAAATTAATGCTGCACTGAAGAGACAGGATAAGTTACTAACTCTGAGGTAAAGAAATAAACAAGTTTCTTTCTAAATGAAATAAAATACTATACAAACTATAAAATAAAATACTATACATTACTCTCTAACAGTAATGACTAATTACTAAGTATCTATCTATAACTATTTACATAAGAAGAGGCCTCAAGAACACAGCAAGCTCTAAATTGTAACCAGAGAAGGAAAAGCCAAAGTTGCGCTCTGTCCTACTCTTTATGCCTTTGACTGATGGCACGGGGACACTCAAGGTCCAGGAGTGGCTGCCAGCAGACAATGCAGGACACTAGTTGCATGTACACCATCAATAAAATGTATACAGAGAAACAGAAAAGCATTTGAAGGAAAACACACAACAGATTTCTTTATGTGATGATTATTCTTATTATTATTACCACCAGTGTACATTCAACCCTCTACATTTGTATCAAGAGAAATATACTATAGGATAATATTCATTACAAAAACATATTACAATTTCAATGGTCAAGAGTCAGACAGTGACCATATAAAAAAGCAGTTTCCTGAATTCTGAATGAAAAATCTCTTATTTCCTACTTTATTACCATTCATTTAAAAAAGCTTAAGGTGGCAATTTGCCGGGGAAGATTTGTAAAAGAGGATACAAGGGTTTTACTGAAATTTTAAAAAGTTATAGAGGCACATGTGCATGCATGCATGACTGCCCTACCCTCCTCCTTTGCCTGCAAGAACAGTGATTTATTTTAGGTTTTGAAATATTAAAACAGACTCATTGGCTGCATTGTGGGTTTTGTAGTTTGAATGATTCTTTTACTCTGTTTATTTTAGATGAAGGATACTATATCAATGGACTCTTCATTCAGTTTTTGATGCATTACAATTTTAGGGCCATATAAAATATAAAATATGCATGGTTTTCTGGGCTCTTTTTCCTTTTCCCTCCCATCCTATTCATCAACTAATATTTGATGCTACAGTGATTTCGGTATTAGTCACACAATATCCAAATCACTCTCCTAGCAAAAACAGACATTATTATTTCACTGTAGGCCCCAGAACATTCATCCTTGATACAAGGGAAAAAAATATTAAAACAAAATCTTTACACATGGTAATAAGAATTCACAAGGGTACTGATAAAGTAAGCTGCTGCCTGAAATACTATCAGTGTTGGGGTGTGACCCATGAGAACACTCTCTCATAAAATAACTAGTATTTGTAATTTAAAGATAAGATAGTTCCATAAGGACAAAAATGTTTAATTTATCATGGGACTTTTCCAATATCTTGATATTTCTGCCAAGATCTCTCAACAGCAATTAGCATTTATTACATTTTTACTATTAATAAACAAACACCAAGAAAAGTAATATTATTACATACTTGTCGCTCAAGATCTTGAATTCTTTTTGCATCTGCTGCTCTGTCCTTGATGCGTTTCTTCTGTTGCACAGACTGATTCCCAGCTTCGGTTCTGAGATTATCAACCTATTCATCATATTCAGTGGTACAATACAAAACATTTATGCAATGGATTCACTTCATTAGCACTGCTGAAAATATTTATAATTATTTCAAATTAACTATAATGAAAGAGTTCCATATTTGAACAGGACTAGTACAGAAGATGATCCTAGTTATCAGTCTGGTTTGTCTGATAGAAGTCTATGGATTAAATTTTTATGCTGGGCTACGGCCTCTGTGTCAGATAGGGGTAAGGAAACACTAATTCAGCTGCAGAGATCTCGCAGAGAATTCCCTTATGAAGGGAACTCCCTGCGAGCAAATCTTTGCCAGATCTGTGCCCTGAGCCTCTGTCTCCCCCATTCTCTTGATATGGGGTGAGATTGAGAGGTGGTGGTACGGTTAAGCTATCATGTTTCACACTTCCAAATTTTATCCTTAACTCATCTTAAGAGTTCACAGCTTTGAATTTAGTGATGCAATTTGGAGATGCCCAAGAGCAGCTTTAAATTATGTCTAAGCTGGGCTGACCCTGAGGTTCAGAGAGCCAGAACTAGTTCCTTGATGAACCACTTTCTCCCCATCATCAAGGGCTCCAGCACAAGGGACAATCTGGCTATCAAGATTCCAAGTCAAATATCTGGAACTGATATGAATACTGCAATGTATTGCTAGAGAGAGAAAGAGAACCGTTAAATGAATGCACATTCCTATTATCAGATGGATGTTATTTTAAAAACATACGTAATAATAAGTAGGGCTGCTGATTAAGTTCAGTTAACTCACACGATTAACTAAAAAAATGAATTGTGATTCATCGCCATTTTAATCACACTGATAAACAGAATACCAATCGAAATGTATTTAATATTCTAGATATTCTTCTATATTTTCAAATACAACACAGAATACAAAATGTACAGTGCCCACTTTATATCATTTTTATTGCAAATATTTGACCTGTAAAAAAAGATAAAAGAAATAGTATTTTTCATTTTACCGCAAGTATTGTAGCGCAAGCTCATTACCATGAAAGCGTAACTTAAAAATGCATAGTTACATAACTGCACTCAAAAACAAAATTATGCCCACTTAGTCTTACTTTTTGCTCAGCCAGCAAAGAAACGAGTTTGTTTACATTTGTGGGAATTAAGGCCGTCTGTTTCTCATTTCCAATGTTACCTGAAAGTGAGAACAGGCCTTCGCAGGATACTTTTCTAATAGGCACTGCAAGGTATTTATAAGCCAGATATGTTAAATATTTGTATACCCTTTGTGCTTCAGTCACCATTCCAGAGGACATATTTCCATGCTGATGATGCTCATTAAAAAAATAATGTGCTAATTAAATTTGAGATTCAGCTCCTTGGGAGGAGAACAGTATGTCTCCTGCTCTGTGTATTACCCACATTCTGCCACATATTTCATGTTATAGCAGTCTTGGCTGATAACCCAGCACGTGTTCCTTTTAAGAACACTCTCACTGCAGATCTGACAAAAAACAAAGATGATACCCATATGAGATTTCTGAAGATAGCTAGCTGCAACGACTGAGCCAAAGTTTAAGAGTCTGAAATGCCTTCCAAAATCCTAGTGGGATGAGACATGGAGCATGTTTTCAGAAGTTTTAAAAGAGCAACACTCTGATGTGGAAACTACAGAAGCTGAACACTAGGAAAAAAAAATTAAACCTTCTGCCAATGGCATCTGACTCAGATGATAAAAATTAACATGTGTTGGCCTTCACTGCTTTGGATCGTTATTGAGCAGAACCCATTATGAGCATGGATGCATATCCTCTGGAATCGTGATTGAAGCATGAAGCGAAATAAAAATTTTTAGCACATTTGTCATGTAAGCACTTTCCGATGTTGGCTATAACAATGCCACACAATTGTCTGTCCTCACTTTCAGGTGACATTATGAACAAGAAGTGGGAAGCATTATTTCATAGAAATGTAAACAAAATTGTTCGTCTGAGTAGACAAGAAGTAGGAGTGAGTGAACTTGTAGGCTCTAAAGTTTTACATTGTTTTATTTTTGAATGCAGTTTTTGTAATAGTTCTACGTTTGTTAATTCAACTTTCATGATAAAGAGACTGCACTACAGTACTTGTATCTAGTGAACTGAAACATACAAAATATTTGCAAAAAATACAAAATACATACAAATATTTGTAATAAACATAAATATAAAGCACCATATATTTTGTTTTCTAGGATGTAACTGAAGTCAATATATTTTAAAATGTTGAAAACAAAAAATATTTAAATAAAAGTTATTCTGTTTTTGTTTAACACTGCAATTAATCACAATTAATCTTTTTAATCATGATTATTCTTTAATCACTTGACAGCTCTAATAATACTGCTTCAGTGTAAATTTAACCTTTGATAAACAAAACTGTTCACCCAAATGACACAGCAATCATACTATATACTAAAATTTGAAAAATTGAACTGCCTTGATGAAAATGAAACCACTTCTTCCCCACCGACCATGTGTTGTTAAATCTTAGTTTACATATCATTTATAACTTCCTCCCCTACTTTGGAATGTTCATAATATAATACTTCCTCTGCTTTTTACATGTGTTCATGAGCAGGGAAAATAGTATCACTTGTGTCTGAATTAACACCCTTGACTTAAGTGGGGCAGTTCACACTCACAGCTATTGTTTCAGGCTCTGCATTGGCTTAAAAAGTTTTATTTTCAACCTTACAGGTAGAGATTTATTTTTCTTTCAAGAAAATATAGCTTCATTTGATGCTGGAGAATGATTGAGAAGCCAGTTTACATCTCCTACAGCTATTTCTTTCAGCCTCTGAGGCATGTATAACCCATACTTTGGGGTAAGAGTATGGTATTTTTTTAATGGTAGTGTAACAACATAACTGATATCTGGTAGTCTTAGTCAATAGATTTCCATGTTCTAAAGAACTATCAACTTAGAATTATTTCCAAAAATGTCAATGAAGTGATTAATGCAAATAAAAATAGATTTAAGTTCTCCTACATTTACATCCTCCATTTCACACATTATGAATGTGCATTCATGATATCAAACCTTCAGTATTTAAGTAAAAGATTTTGATGTATATCAGTACTGCATCTTGAATATGATAAGAACATAAGAACGGCCGTACTGGGTCAGACCAAAGGTCCATCTAGCCCAGTAGCCTGTCTGCTGAAAGTGGCCAGCACCTGCTGCCCCAGAGAGGGTGGGCCGAAGGAAATGATCAAGCGATTTGTCTCCTGCCATCCTTCTCCAGCCTCTGACAAACAGAGGCCAGGGACACCATTTCTATTGCCTGGCTAATAGCCTTTTATGGACCTAACCTCGATGAAATTATCTAGCTTCTCTTTAAACTCTGTTATAGTCCTAGCCTTCACAGTCTCCTCTGGCAAGGAGTTCCACAGGTTGACTATGCACTGTGTGAAGAACTTTCTTTTATTAGTTTTAAACCTGCTACCCATTAACTTCATTTGGTGTCCTCTAGTTCTTCTATTATGGGAACTAATAAATAACTTTTCTTTATTCGCCCTCTCCACACCACTCATGATTTTATATACCTCTATCCTGTCCCCCCTCAGTCTCCTCTCTTCTAAACTGAAAAGTCCCAGTCGTTTTAACCTCTCTTCATATGGGACCCGTTCCAAACCCCTAAATATTTTAGTTGCCCTTTTCTGAACCCTTTCCTGATAAATGATATGACAGATAACATATCCTGAAGAATTAAGTTGTATTCTGTGGTCACTACTTCTATAAATACTAATACACAAAATAAACCTTAAACTGTTGTGATCACCTGTATTTTCAATTTCTCAATTTCTTCTTTTGCCTCTTTAAGACGAGTTGCATCTCTATCCAAAAGCTCCTGATTTTCTGCAAACCATTGCAGTCTCTTTTTCAAAACACTGATTTCCTGTTTGTATGATTCTTCTATAATCTTTATCTCATAAGATTTTTCACCTACAAGACAAAAAAGCTGATTTAATATACTTAGAAATTTGCAACAAAACTATCAGACAGATACTGCATCATTCTAAGGTAAATTGCAGGCACTCTGCCATTACTAAATTTAAATGTGCGACTCAAATTGTTTTCAAACATAAGAGCTTTAAAAAGCCTTTATATCACATTTATGTAAGCCATTCTGTAACACAAATTTTATATACTTACTGGAAGACTTACCCAGTGTTGCTCAGGGGGGGGGGGGGGGGGAAGAGCTGGAGTCAGGGCAGGAGGCTGAAGATATGGGTAGAGGGTGCAGGAATCAGGCTTAGGGGGAGAGGACAAGCTCAGAGCAGGGGGTGGGCGCATAGGAGTTAGGACAGGGGGCTGGGAAGTATGCGTGCATGCACGCAAGAGAGTGGGTAGGAAGTGCAGGGGAGGAAATGAAGGCGGCTAGTGCCTGGTCCCCAGGGCCAGCCCAGGGCAACTGCACAGCCTGCCTGCTTTTCCCCAAAGGCCAGCCTGGGTGTAGCACAGTCCACATGCCTGTTTGTCCACAGAGGCTGGCTTGAGGGAGGGAGAGGCCATGC